ACATAAATAAACACCGCAGTAAAGACAGAAAGTTCATCTGAAACGTCATCTAAATATTGTCAGGGCGAGGGATGTGAATTTAAATGGCAGAAAGACGTGCAGAATGAACTGATCTTGTCTTTAAATCATGTTGAGAATGTACTCAGCCCTGAGCTATAAGGCTAATGAGACGCATTAAAGAACAATGCATCTTTACACACAATTAAAGTGGGGTTTAAGCTTCTAACTGAGCTGTAAGGAATCTAATGGAATGTAAACAATGCCTCCATACGTGGCTCTTTATCACTAAGGAGCAATATAAATGACCTATAATTTATTTTTATATTTTATAAATGAGCAAATAAACACAAAGCAAGCAAATAGTTATTCTTATTAATTAGCAATTCTTTGCACGTAACGTGGGAGGCCATTAATGTCAAGTCAAGTGCAGTTTAACCTGAGATTCTTTATGCACATTAGCGCAATTCCAGACCTATCTAATGAGAAGAGCAATCATTTTACAAGGTGGCGATCCCATATGACTTTGTATGATGTGATTCGATGTGGAAATGTATGATTTTTAGAAATAAAGTATGTATGAAGGTCCACCCATAATCCTAACTAGGGGCGTACGAATCAGCCACAAATTGCCCAAAATGTAAAAGAGATACGAATTGCCATGAGAGTGTGCTGGCATTTCCCAATCTTGCAGGAAGGTTCTGAGTGCTAAGCTACAGAGGACGCAGCAGACTACCGTGATCATATGACATACTTAATTGGAATATTACGAAATACTACAGACACTTGAAATGGGAGACAGGACACATTTTTGCTTTTCTATTGTTTTCTATGTAAACATGCGCTACACAGATGTATTTGACTGGATGCATGTGCGCCTTTCACCGTGAAAGAAGTTCTGGGGTGCGTTTCCCATACAACGACTTAACTCGATGCTTCACTACCATAGTACGATTCATTGTTGAAGAAATCAACTAGCTAGTCACGACTGTTTCCCGAAACCATATTGTCGCAAAGTGGTCGTTCAGCCACGTTGGTTTATGACGTCACGCACGTGGTGGAGTAAAAACGTATTTTAATGAAACTGTTTGAAATCGAATTAATGCTAGATGTTTTGATATAAATTACAGACATGACATCTGAGGAATATTTCTATTTCTCAGTTATTTCGCTTTATTTCCAGATTCAATCATAGGCTCATTCTTGTATAGTGGAGCACGTTCGCACATGCGCAGTCTTCAAAAACGGTGCTTTAAATCTCTTGACAAACTCAAAGACGTAGATGACATTTGTATGTATTCTAAATAAAAGACACAGGTTGTACTGAATGTCAGCTTGCTTATTTAGCTCAAGATAAGGATTTATTAAGTCCACATGTCATGCAATCTAGAAACTCTGCTTCTAACCACAGCTCGACAGCTGTCGTTCCAACAACACAACTTTGCGATGCTGTTTGCGAATGTTCGTTGGAACGATGGTTTTGGGATACATCGACTCGTTGAACTATGCTGATAACGACGGAACTTGCGACCATAGTTGGCTAACGATGCTTTCGGGAAAAGCACCCCTGGACAGTTGAAGGAACTGTCACTGTCCCGATCATGCCAGTGCTGCATGGTTATGAAAGTTTGTCATTTGCAAAGTTTATCATTTCAAGCCTTGCCAATTTAAGCATTCAAGTGCAAGAGGATGCGAAATAGAACTCGCCAGGCTGTGTGACAAGGTTTGTGTGTGCAAATCCAAAGCGCACCTTGAAAATAATAAAATTAATTGCGCTTAAACGGACAAATTCACACATTTATCTCAAAATGCCTGCCTTGGCGAGTATCCTGGTAAACATAGTCGGTTATGGCTTAAGTGAACGTAAACAGTAGAGAAAGACAATGCATTTGAATCAGTATATTGGTTCTTTTTTTATTAATGACTGTTTACTTTAAAGGGGTCATGGATTGAAAAATCAACTTTTCCTTGAGCTTTTGATATATAAAAGGTCATCGTAATATAAGAATATCCTGTAAGTTTCGGAGCTGAAAACTTCCTTGTTAGTCAAATAAAAGCTTTTATTGACAGCTGGCTCATCAAACGAGGGATCTGCGAATTGGCAGATCTGAGACGATAGAGAGCAGCGAAACGCCGCCTCAGCAGAAAAAGTCCAACGCCTAATTCTGTAGCCTTCGCCCACCGATTCACGCATGACATGTAATAGGTAAATAGCATAGGCCTACGTGGCGCTAAACCGGATCGAGCTACCGAGCAATAAAAATGCCGCTGAAGATTACAAAATATTGTGCAGTGCCTGGTTGTGGAAGAACACAGTCGCTGCATAAGCTTCCTTCGGATTCCAATTTTAGGAATAAGTGGTTGAACTTTATTTTTAATGAAGTTCCGGCTCACGTGGGTAAGACATTGTGCGTTAAAAATGTTTTTTATATGTGCTAGTATTGCATTGTTACAGATCATTTGATATCTACTGATTATGTGTATGTCTGTGATAGATATATATATAGATCTAAATAACGCTATAATCAACTCTTTTCACGATTAGTTAACCTTGAGAGATGTAATAGTAAAAACCAGGCTCGGATTGGCTAATCGGGAGAACCCGGAGAATTCCTGGTGGGCCGGTCTGTTTTATTGGCCAGGAGGGCCAGTGTTGTCATGGCACTGGGTTGAATGCTTTATATAGGGTCCAGTCGCAGCTTTCAGTGTATATTTTTCTGAGTGTATAATGAACGTTGTGAAATAATTGCCTGAAATTAACTCTAATTTGCTGCTGCAATGATTTAGCCAACATATCGCGACGATAACCAACCTCATAATCTGAGCTGCTTCAGTACTCAAACACCGCTCGTCGGCAATGGCAAAATGTTTGAGATGACCGATCAAAGCAAGCGGGATTTATGTTCACAGAAGCGCGAGCCGCGGCCGCGCGCGAATCCCAACGCGACGCTTCACGAGATAAGATGCAAGTGGCTAAACTAAACAGCTGTTTTAATTACGAAAGAAGTTTTAAACGACCGATAGAAATAATCAGTTTGGGAAGACTGTATCCATCAAAGCTCAGCTTCGGGAAGGGGAGTACCTGTGTACCGCTATTGCACTGAATAGAAATGTATGTATTTTTTAAATACAATGAATAACAAGGCTGTACAGAACACTGCACTATTGCAGAGACTTATATAGCCTACTGAGGTTTCAATCACATAATTTTAATATAGTCAGTCGGGAACTAAAGTGGGCCGGTCTAAGGCATGAAACTCCAGGGCTGAAAATGAGTCCCACTCCGGCCCTGGTAAAAACTTGCTAAAGGTTTTCGAGAGAGTTCCACATGTAATACTTAGGTATTTCATATGCAAAGATGTCAGCCAATCACAGCAGTGGGCGTTCACACTAAAGTCTCACAGCAGACACTCCCCACAGAGCGTTTAAATCAGAGGGCTAAAATCAGGCTAGGAAAAATGATTTATTAAGTTACTAAATTGTTTATGTAAAAATCATACTAACATTATAAGTGCACACCAGGAAACATTATGAAACGATAAAACAATGCAGTTCATGACCCCTTTAAAATTGACCCTTTTAAGAGTGGTGAAAACTGTTTAGTGAATAGGACCCACTCCGTTATGTTCTGTTAGTTTCTGTTTTCATGGACTTTCAGTTTGTTTTCATTTGTTACGTGTCCCGCCACTCATCTGTCTCCTTGGTTACCATCATTATTAGTTCATATGTTTCAGCTGTGTTTAATTATCATTGTTTGTGTTTAGTACTTAAGTTGTTCCCTGCACTGGTCCGGTCACAGTTATGTTATTCGTGTTTGCTAGCTATCTGTCTGCCTGCCTTTGGGAATGGTATTATTAACACTATTGTTGTTTGGAACCTTCGTCTCCTGTCTTCGTCTGTTCGCCTGCATTGACCCCGTGACAAAGATATTGCAGTAAAGATATTGCTTCCTTCATCTCTATAGAAAGAATTACCATCAAACAAGATACAAGAAAAATACCATACCAACATCAGATTTACCTCCAGATGTGCAATGGTGCTTATGAAAAAACAACAAAAAACGGAATTATATAATTAACGAACAGATGATGCAGTATTTGAAGGGTCAGGCTGATGTTAAATTAACATAAAGACAAATCTGATTAGTTGTGATTAAAAGCAAGCTGCTTGACCCTTAATTATCTGTAATTTGAAAGCAAATTACAGTTTTCTTGCACAATGGATGAATACATTAGCCCTCACATCTGTTTAGAAATCCTCCTGTCTGGATGGTGAGACATTATTTCATGAAAAAATTAAAGATACAAATGGGACAGTCAACATATATATCTTGAAATGCAGGGCTTTCAAAAATATTGCTTTTCTGTTTTGTTTTGTTCAGGTTTTTCAATTATTTTGCTCATTTTGTTGTGTGGTGCACCTTGTAATGGGTGGGTTTTGTGTTCATACTGTATGTCTTTTATTTTAGTCTTTGTACAGCTTTTGTTTTGAAGTTTTGTTGATGTTCTTTGTTAAGTTAATAGTGATGTATCCGAATATGCCAACTTACCTACTACACAGGTTACATAATATCCAGTACAAAAGGTGGCAAAAACACCAGCTACAATGGTTTCTTGTTCCTCACGCTTTGTTTTACATTATCAATAAAGCTCCATTACCAGGATTTGCCTCTGATGTATTCACAACAATGTGGCAACCGAACAAAAACGCTAAGCCCTGGAGAGTGAAAGTGTGTAAAATCAATCTAAAGATAACAACCAAGTGCAGGTCTCCTGTTCTCACACGGCATCCGCATGCTGATTAAAATCCTCATTTGCCATTGAAGTCAAGGAATGAAGAAGGTCAACTCCAGGGAGAGCAGGCAGAAAGCGACAGATCCTGCCCCTAGGGCTGATGCTGCCGGTGGGGATAAAGCCACAGTCTCAGTCTGCTGCACCTGATAATCACGGTCTCAGCCAGTGTTTGTGGAAATGCAGGGCAAGGGAAGAAGGGTTGGCTCTGACCTGTCAATGATGGCACACATGTCGAGGCTGACGTTCTCAAAGGCTCCCATCTTTCCCTGCTCCACTGCGGTTAGGTCAGCCAGCTGATCGTCCACCTGAATGAGCTGCATGCAACCCTGGAACGAGCGCTGGAGGGGAGATGCTCTGGTTCTTAAAAAATAACCTAAACAAACAAAACACATGGCAAAGATGTTATATGCCAAAATAAAAATGTTATGACTATAATAGCAGATGTAATATCACTGATTAAGATAACAGTTTGTTAACTTGAATTTTCATTTTGCATGCACTACCGTTTGGGGTCAGTAATATTTTGTAATGTTTTTGAAAGAGGTTTTCTATTTCTATATTTTAAAATGTCATTTATTCCTGTGATGCAAAGCTGAATTTTCAGCATCATTACTCCAGTTACTCCTGGAGCCGAATGGATTATTTTTTTATGACAGATGGATGCAATTTTTTTGCGCTTCAAAATCCGAATCATGCTTTAATTATAGTTGGAGAGTTTCTGCAAGAACTATTTTGCCCTCAAGTGAGACACTTAACCTCATACTGTAGGACTGCGATCTGTGTACTATATTTCTCTGGATAAAAAAGGTCAGACTAAATTTAAAAAATAAAGTCAGTGAGTGTGATCTAACGGCATATGTGTGAAAGGTAATCTAATGTCATGCATGTAAAAGCTGAACATAAGGACCATTAACTGGGGAAAAACCTATCAACCTAACCTCATTAACCAAGTGATAGCTTTGACACCAAAAAAGGTCATGTACATTGCAAACAATCAGCCAACTCTGATGCTACTAATGAGATAAAAACACCTAGAAACACTGAACAAAGCCAGATTAGACAGATTTCTCCATATGGACCGCTGACATTCCTAGGAGAAAATGCGCAACCTAGACCCCAAAGATTTGGCAAATCCACAGGGTTGGTTACGCTTGTGTTAGAGGTAAACAAAGCTTTCCATTATGCCGATCACAGAAAGGTCTATTGAGATTCACCTTGCGTCCCCCTGACATTAATCTACAAATGAGAGCATCTGGAAGCATCAGTGTTTGCAAGGCACTTGCTTAAAAAAAGAAAGTAAGAAAAAAAAGAAAAGAAAAAAAGAAAAAGTTCCTCAAGTTTGCTGGGCCATCTGTCTTGTCTGCTTCCTGCACCTGTCCACGAGTCTATATGCCTGAGCAGTCAACAGAGGAGGATGAGGAAGATGGGCTATTGGAAGACACACTGAGGGAAATGTGACTCACTACAGAGGAAAACCGAGAAAAACAAGCATCTGCTGACAAATTAAGGCAGGGCTGCAGTGGCATCTCAATGATTGCTGGGATTTGTGGGGATCTGGGAGGCCGCCAGGATCTGTGATCAACAAGGGACGTGGGAAAAGGCAGGCTTTCGTCACCCACGCTTGGATGCGACTTCCCGGTGACTGCTTTTGTCCCATTCTGCTGTCGTAATTAATTGAGGAGAGTCACATTTCTGACAAGATAACGCTCTAAATTACGACTGAGGCCCACAACTCACACTCCTGACAGGGTTTCTGAGTAGCTTCTGCATGACTGTGTTTACGAGCTGCTGATGATTTTGCAAAGATTGGAGAATAACTACTGTAAGATTAATGAGTGTCTATGGGCGCCATGTATTATTCATGACTGGCAAATGGAATATGGAGGATTCCTGTGGGAAGCCCATGTTGTAAACTTTTATCCTCATCAATAAGCCTAGTGCAGATGTTAACTGTTATTGTTTATTCTGCTTTGGATATTTTTATTCTGCTATAATGATGTTAAGGTGTATCCAAAATTGGTTACACTTTATTTTGATGGCCCCTTTTAGACATTCTGTTGACTATAAGTAATATTGCACCTACAGTATGTCAACTAACTCTTAATTAGAGTATTAGTTGAGTATTTGACTGATAGGGTTATGGTTAGACATGTACACGTAAAGTCACTTATAGTCGGTAGAATGTCTGTTTAGGGACCATCACAATAAAGAGTTAGCAGATATTAAGCAGACAGTCTACTAATACTCTAATAAGAGTTAGTTGACATGGAGGTCCAACGTTACGTATAGTCAACGGAATGTCTAAGTGTTACCTTATCAGATACTAGGGAATATGAGTTCAAATGGTGTGTAAAGCAGTCATTTTTCCTAAAGTGACATGAATCAGGATGTCTCAGAGGGCTTTCTTGAGCTCACTGTGTTCTCAATGAGGCCAAAAACAAAGTAAAAGTGAGGGGAAACAACTAGGGCTGTTTTCGACTAAGGATTTTCATAGTCGAATCTGATTCGTAAGATTTTGCCGTAGTCGACTCTATAGTCGAACTTTTTTTTTTTTTTAGATAGCAGCTAGACGTTCGGTTGAATAACTGTTCGTCTGTTATAGGACAACTCGCTCTACGTTTATTTAAAATGAACAGCAAGACAACTAGAAGTGAATGTGCTTTCCATTAAATGAATCCTTAACAAAAAAACAAAACAAAAAAAACGTTGCAATGAACGTGCTTTGTTTTAAATAAATCACACACAGTAAACAAAACCTTAACAAAAAAACTTTGCAATGAACTTTGCAATTTAGACACGCAAACTGCGAGCCGGTGCGGTGAGACGTAGCCTACATGCTCGGGCAGATTCGGCTTGAAGTCGTTCATCCTCGGATGCGGCGCCGCGCGCGCTGTTACAAAAAAAGCTGTGCACACAGCCAAGCGAAATGGGGTCTTGCCGGTCTTCCGCACCCAACGCGTCATTTTTTGCCGTGTGCACCTTCGCGCTCGTGCGGACGCGTCGAGTATAAACAAGGCTTTACTCCGTGTCAGCGCGCGCTCTGATCGGTAAAGGGGCACAGACCTCTCCCGAATCATCTGCAGCACTCAGCCTCCGACGCACCACTAACTCCGCCTCCGCTTCCCTCGTAAGATGATATTAGTATTTAAACATTCTCTATGATAAAAAATGTTTGTAAAAAATATTTGAATAGCTCGGTTTTGCCGGTTATAGAGTTCTAATGACGGTGTTCAACTATAACCATCGGTCTCACGGTTATATAATAACCGTCACACCCCTATTGGTTACATAACACTTCCCCTACTATTCGACTATGAGGTTCACAGTCGAATCAGACCTCTCCGAATCGAATCGTCGAATCCTCGATTATTAGAAGTCAGCCCTAGAAACAACGTAATTAAGGTGAACAATATAATATTCTTAACATGTCCATAAACTGGCCTGAATGGGTCGAACTGGTGAAAACAGATGGGCTAATTACAGAGTAAACAGCTCACCCACTCGGACAACACCACTTTTGTTGATCAAGTCCAAATCTAAATTAACATGAAATTACTTGAAATGAGCCAGTGAATAACCCAGTGTTCAGTTGTTTGACACCTCTGTAAACACCTTGACGTATGCGCCTTTATCAAAGATTGTTGGTCTAAAAGGAGACACCAAAAAAAATGCAATAAAAGTAAATTAGATTTACTTAAAGATGCTTAACTTTACCAAGTATAAATTAGTTCTGTAAATGTCAAATGGATATTTTTTTCCATTTACTGAACTTAGAAAGTAACATTTTACGTTCAAGTTTAAGTTCATAATTTGAATTAATTTCTTTTAAATACTTAACATTTATTTTTAATTCATATTATGTACACTAGACCGTTCAAAATTCTGGGGTCAGTAATATTTTTATTCTGCAAGGGTGAATTAAATTGATCAAAAGTGACATTAAACACTTTTATAATGTTACAAATAATAAAAAATATATAAAGAAAAATTCTATTCATCAAAAAAAAATCCTGAAAAAAATGTATCACAGTTTCCACGAAAATATTAAGCAGCATAACGGTTTTCAACATTGATAATAAACAGAAATGTTTGAGCAACAAATCAGCATATTAGAATGATTTCTGAAGGATCATGTCACACTGAAGACTGGAGTAATGATGCTGAAAATTCAGCTTTGCATCACAGGAATAAATTACATTTTAAAACATATTAAAATAGAAACAGTTATTTTAAATTGTAATAACATTTTACAATATTACTGTATTTTTGATCAAACAAATGCAGTATTGATTAGCATAAGAGACTTCTTCAAAAACATTAAAAAAAATTTACTGACCCCAAACTTTTGAATAGTACTGTAAACCATTAAAATTACTCAAAATCAAATTACTCAATTCAATTTGATAGATTTTTGTTTCTATAATATTAAAATGCAAAAATCTTTTGAGTCAGTGTAATAAAAATAATAGCCAAACAAGTTAGTAGCAGCAAATAAAAACTCCACTACAAGCCATATACTGTTTCAAAGAAATTTTTTAGAGCCCCTTTACTTTATTCCACTCTATTACAAAGTTATCAAAACAAAAGCTGACCTCCTACAGGTTGATGGGTATTTCAAAATCTGAAGCAGAAGAACTCTACGGTCCTTCTATGTTTAATGCTGTCTTGTATTACAAAATCCAATCTACTGCCATCTCCCATCAGACAGTCATTAATTCGGTGAGGTCTGCCACAAATGTGCAGAATCATCCTCTGTAAAATAGGTTTGGGAGACTAGATCTAACCAAAGAGGATGTCGGGAGAAAAGCAGTCCCTTTCTTGGAAAAACAAAGATCTATTCTCCTGGTTCCGCAGACAGCTAAATACATGCGAGACGGTATTTTGGAGACATTGGGGACTGATGGGAGTTTTTCTGTTTGCTAGAATATTCCATCAGGTCTTAAATTATCAAACATGTGCTAAAGCTAATTATGTTTTGTTCGCAGATGAGCATCTGCAAAGCAAAACTGGACCCCATTGACTTTCATTATATCATGGACCCAAAAAAAATCGATTTTTCAAAATATCTTCTGTTATGTTCAACAGAAAAAAGGAAAGTCATAGGTTTGGAATGACATGAGGGTGATTAAATGATTTTTATTTTTATGTGTGCTTCATTTGTCTTTCGCCCAACAACAAGGGAGACTTTTCCTTAAATATTAACTTTTAGGCAAGGCAAGGCAATTTGTTTATATATCACAACCAATATGAACTATTTAACAGTTCAGTGGTATGGTTAAAGTGCCCCTATTATGCTGTTTTAGCATAATTTAGTCTCCTACAACAGGTTTACATGCATCAAAGGTCATATTTTTTTTCATTTTCTCATAATAT